GTTTCCATCTTTTTTCATTGATTTGTAAGTACATGTTATTGATTAAGGTTATTTTTTAGGTAGACAACCATTTTGGCAAATAATGACACCTTGTCCTCCTCAATATTAGTATTTCTTATTTATTTTTCTTGTCTTGTTACATTGGCTGGAGCTTTAAAGTTCAATCTAAAAACAACAATATTGATAGCAGGAATCATCCTCTTATCCCTAATTTTAATAGGGTTGTCTGTAATGTTTCACCATAAATATAACCTTGGACACTAGATTCAGATAGACATTCTGTTCTAAGTTAAGAAAATATCTTTCTATTCCTAGGTTACTATGCATTTCAGGATTTAATTTTAATTTTTGCCTTTTTGTAACTAGGTACAAAAAATTTTCCAATATTGACCCATTTTTGCCCTCATAAAACAGGCTCTATTTGGCTATTCAGCTAAATATAATGGCAGATTCAATTTACTAAAGTTTTGCATCTTTTTTAATAATTAGATTTAGTGTATAGTTTTAGTTTTTTGAGCTATTTTTGTCAGGTTTTAACATCAGTTTATGTTAACTTAGTAAAACTATTTGAAAAAAGTTCTATCTTTTTAATACTCCAGAATATGCTTAAAAGTATATAGTTATTGGAATTAAGAAGGCATGACTGAGTTTGAATTTGACATTGTTTAAGCCTGTCATTTAGTGGCAGGTAATAATTTGATATTTTCAGTTTCTTCTTTGGTTACCGGCATATTTTGTTTTAATTTCTCCTTGAATCAATTTCATTAGTCTATATTTTCCTGGAAAACAATCTTCATTTTAAAGAAACTTAGCATTGCATATGTATCAGTCAGGGCTCCAGTATGAAACAGATGACATATTTGATACAGGATTATTTCAAGAAGGTTTATTGATACAGGCCTATTTAGCCAGGTGTACTACAAGGGACCGTGTCTTATTGTAGAGCTTGTAGCAGATCTACTTCCACTTCTGGGCCTGAGGGTGGAGAGTGGGGTGGGTGGCAGTGATCCTTGGTGGGGTACACAGCCAGCCTGAAACAGAGAGGGGGCCAAGCAAATACATGCTCTGACCTCACTCTCCTTCCCTCCCTCTTGCTGCTGGGAGGCTGTACTGGCCAAATCCAGCAAGACAGAGGCCAGAGACCTCATAGGTGTGTCCATCTATCTCTGATATCGCCACTGCATCTAGGAATAAGCACTTTTCTCATTTGAAATTAACTGTGCTTGTATTTTCAATGTTTTTTCTTGTTTAGTCTTGTTGGAATTTTGTCTAATTGTTTTTTTGTTTCAAGGAATCAGCTACTGGATTAAAAAAATTTAAATTAAAAATATAGCTAACATCCAATATTATATTAGTTTCAGGGGTACACCATAGTTATTCAACATCCTAAAGAAGTGTTCACCATGATAAGTACAGCAACCATCTGACACTGTATCACGCTATCACAATATTATTGACTATATTCCCATGTTGTACATTACATCCCCATGGCCTATTTGTTTTATACTAGGAAATTTGGACCTCTTATTCCCCTTCACATTTCCTGCACCTTTTTAATTTTTCAGTTACTGTTGACATTCAATATTATTTTATATTAATTTCAGGTGTACAGCACCATGTTTAGACATTTATATACCGTATTTGCCGGCGTATAAGACGATTTTTTGGCCCTGAAAAATATGCCTCCAAGTGGGGGGTCGTCTTATACGCCAGGTACNAGGGGAGGTGAGGTGAGGGGGCTTCTGGGAGGGTGTTCTTGTTATGGAAGCAAGCGTCCTCCCTCAATCTGCACATCTGTCATGTTTTGAGGACAGTTTTTCCAGATGGCAGCGCTCCAGGAAGGGTGGGGTATTTCCCAGGAGGCAGAGGGTCTGAAGGCTGCCAATCAATGCGGACAGGAGACGAACCATAGAAAAAGGTGTACACCTTTTAGTTCAACTTCTGTGGAAAGGTACTTTCTGATACAAGTACTATGATATTCAGAATTTTCATCCTCACAAGCAACCCTGAGAGGCAGAAAGGGCTCATCACCAATCCCCAGGCGAACGGGCAGCTCGGGGAGGCCTGCAGATCCCCCAGGGGGCGTGGCAGGTCCCACCCGGGGCCCACCCGTCCCCATCTAGGGCGCTCTCCTTACCACCCATCCGCCGCGGAAGGGGCAAAGACCAGACCAAGACCCTGAGTCCAAATGCTCTGGTTTTCAGTGCAAAACACCCTCTGGCTCCAAAAGGAGATAATTTTGCAGGGACTTCGGCAAAGGTAACAGGGGAACGAGGCGAAAGCACTTTTTGCCGAGCCGTTTGCGAATGGCACAGCGGCAGAGATGCTGCAGACGGCGGGGGCCGTGCGCCACGGCAAAGAGAGACTGGTAGAAAGGCCGGTGCCTCTGCAAAGGAAGGCAGGCGAGCATCAGCCCGTGCGCATGGCGCCCACACCCGTTCTGCTCCTGGCCAGAACACACCGCAGGCCCCTTCCAGCCCACCCGACGGCCGGTAGCCACGTGAAAGCGAGACGCGCCGTGTGGCGTGAGGCGTCCTCCACCAGGATGGTCTGCACCCTCTCCTGCTGAGTCCCAGCGAACCCCGTTTGGGGAGATTTCTGGAAACACACGTTATCTCCTTCAATTCTGCTCTGCCCCGCCCCTCTGCGCAGTTGCTGATCAGGAGTGTGTACGGGACCCACGTCAATGCACCATGACAGGGAATTTTCTAGAGGCCCCTGGAAAAAAATGCTCTCCCTCTTCCTTCATGGAGTCCCCTGTGGACCTCGTCGATGGCAACAGTGCCCGCCGCTGCCTCGGTCGCATCGGACACACAGGAGCCACAACCTGCGGATGCCGGAGGCCCCGTGGCCAGCCCTCGGTGGACGCCGAGCCCTCCAGCCCGGCCACTCCTCACCCAGCCTGGGTCTGCTTCTGCTCCTTGCAGCCAACAGCACCCCAACTATACATATATATACTATAGGCTCTGGGCTGTGTGATTACTGAGCCCTCAGTGTCCCTTCCTCAGATGCTCATTCTCACGTGGATACTAGCGCCCAACGCCTCACGCTGGGTGAGCAGAACCAGACAATTCTGCACTAACGGGGGACACAAGGGCAGCCCCCTCACCTGAAGTACTTCTTCCGGAATCGCCTGTTTCCAGGATTCGGACACGCGGAGCTGAGCGTAGGAGTTGACAAGGACCTCGATGACCGCAGGGGCCGGCGCACAGGTCTTCAGCACCTGGTGGGACATGAGGCGACCAAGTTTAGGCTGACTGGGTTTGCGGTCTGAGTGGGGGAAAGGTGGCGGGATATGGAGGTGAGTTTGGATCCCAGCCCTGCCACGTCCTGGCTGTGTGACCTCACTGTGCCTCAGTGACACAGGGAATCACAGGACTAGTACACCGGGGTTGTTGTAGGGCCACACAAATTCTATCACAGATAAGCGCCAGGCAGCACCAGGCAGCGCCAGGCAAGGGGACCTGTCCTGTCTCCAGGAAAA